GTGGTAAAATGTGATAAAATAGTTGACAAACAAAGGCCTTTAATTAGCCCATATTTGAATCCCATTAAATTACATTTTATTTTTTTCTTTTATTTTCAATTACATAATCTTTCATAAAATAATATTACATATAAATCGAAAATTTTTACTTCTTTTTCAATCACTCATTCTTAATAAATAAATAAATAAATAAAATATATATATATATGTATTATTACACTCATTTTCATTTCCAAAACATAGAAAGTCGAATGGGAGCTTAGTCACTGTTTGACTCTCATAAAAGTTAATTTTTTTTTTATCTTCTCTTATTAATTATATATTCTCCAATAAAATAATATTATACATAATTTCAAAAAAAATCTTCTTTTTCAACCACACATTATTTGAAAAAATTATTTCTACTATTAAAATTTCAAATAATGGAGGTTATACGAGATTTAGTACTTAAATATTAGTGTAGATGATATGATTAATGTAGAATTAAATAAGAGCTTGTTTGAGAGTAATTTTGAGAATTAATTTTTTGATCGTTAGGAGAAAAGTGAGGTCTACCTGTGAGAGAAGAAGTTAAATATGACGACTGGAATAGTGAAATAACGGTCAAAAAATCAATTTTTTGGATGAAAAAATCGGGCTCAAACAGGCCCTAAATCACTTAATTTTAGTTGAGTATTTCACACGCAACAATAGATAACATTATTTGTAATTAAATTGTCCACATTCAACGTTTATTCATCTCTCAAAATGAAATTTGAACTTGAGTTGTTAACTTATAATTTCTACATAAAACTTCCACGAGTTACATAAAATATTGTTTTAGCTCCTATATTGACGTCATTCCTTGAAGTTTGCAAAATCTACTAAAAATTCTATTTTAATCTCTAGCAGACATAGGCTAAATATGAAGGTATATAATTTGGAAAAAAAAAAAAAAAGTTTTTGGTGATGAAACTAAGGCCCCGTTTGGAAGTGATTTTTCACCCCAAAAATTTGATTTTTTTTACCATTATTTCACTATTTTATCGATAATTTTTTACTTTCCTCTCATAGGTGGCCCCAATTTTTTTCCTAATAATCAAAAAATCAATTCTCAAAATCACTATTGAACAACCCCTAAAACAATGGTATTCAATTGGGCAACTATTTGTGTTTTCAACCCTCTTTTAACTAAAGAAATAGTAATGTGAATTGGGGCGAAGTTAGGTGGATTTTAAAAAATATATTAAATAATAAAATTATGTTGAACTGATACGTTGGAAAAAAAATATCCACTAATACTGCCTTGTAAAAATAATTGGGTCTACCCGGACCTGCCCCGTCCTCCCCTTTGCCCGTTAATAAAATGAAGTTTGATCGATATTTAACTTTGAAAAATGTTTACCAAACCTACATCATACAATAAAAAAATAAAAAATTAAGTATTCTATCTCAATGCTTTTATACATGTAAAATTATTATTATTATATCATATTACACATCATAAAACATATATTATCTAAAATATATTAAAAGGAGGGATTGATGAGAAACTTTTGAATACCTAAATTACCCTTATGTATTTAGCTATATACAATATACCCTTATTTAATTTTAATTTTGTTAATAATTAATTAATAACATTAATTCCTTACATATTTACTCATATGTCCAATATATCCTTATTTAATTTTGATTTTGTTAATAATTAATTAATAAAATTAGTTCAATTTATTCAACATGAAGGGAGGGGGAAAAATTGTCTATAAGAGATTTTTTTAATAATCAGCTTTATACCTATCATTGAAGAATTGGTGGAGCCAATTCGGAAATGATTTTATCACTGCGCGAATTCAAAATCAAACACAGAGCGAGAATCTTTTTTTTTTTTTTTTCCATTCGTTAATAATTCCCCAAATTAATCATTTCAATATTATATAATTTTTTTATCAACGTCTTTTATTACAAAAATATAAATTAAATTTCTTTTCTCGAATAAATTAATCAATTTACAAAAATAACATCTATTTTCTCCTATTTAAATGAATGTTTTATTTTGTTGTTTCAAGCATATCCAAACAACTAAATAATATGTTTAATGTAATCAAATTAATGCATAGAAAATGTTACTGTGCTTGAGCCCCATTTTTTATTTATTTATCAAAATACATTCTTGAATAGTGATTTGATCACACTTTAACAACTCATTTTTCAATAAAATGATATTACACGCACATCGATGACTTTTTTTATTTTTTAATCACAAATTTCTCATCAATAAACTATTTAAAAATGTATTTTTTGGACAAGAATAGGACTCAAACAAGGGGTGTATAATTTGATAAAATTTCATTTTATATTATATCTATAATTATATAAAAATTATTTTAATTGGTAGTTATTTGTGAATCACCGTGATACCTAAATTTAGATAAAAGTGGAATACCAAATAAAATTGGTAGTTATTTTCCCACTAAAGTTTTTATTAACTGCACAACATTATAATTGCAATAAACATTTATAATCTTTGTTCATTTTCATACTTAAGTCATTCTGCCATATTCTTATCATTATATGAAACTAAATAAATTATTACAACATTATAGTATGTGCTAAAATTCTAAATCGTTCACATACAATATTAACAGATTAAAAATTTCAATATACAGAGAGAACATATGATGAAAGAAGATAGAGAGAGTCAGTTGAGACTACTTTTTTTTTTTTTTTATTTCCTCCCCCTTAAGAGCATATGAAAGAGATTGAGAGATGGCTACTTTTATAATTAATAATTAACGTATATAAATGAGAGAGTCATGCATAGCTCATTTGTGTTAGTACATACATTTTGTAATAAATATAATTAAGATTACAATAACTATAAAAATCAACATTTCTCATTTTAGAACGATTTTCAATGAAAACAATTTGATGTGAACTACAATTAATAGCTGTTGTCAATGAAAACAATTTGTTGTGGGTTATAATTTCTCAAAACTTGAAACTAGCCCAAATGATACATATATGTGTAAATAAATTCATGTCAAACATTGGAATTTTAAAGAAGTCAACTTGCATGAGACAAACTCTAAAGAAAAAAATGGTTGTTTTGATCTTTGACGAAATTTTTGATTATACTAAAAAGATAATGTAGTTCTTTTTTCTCTCTATTTTTATTTTTTAATTCTTTTAGTATTGTCCATCCAAATGATAAATATAAGCTACTTATAAGTTGACGAGTGTTGCAAAGGTTTTTTTTCTTTTTCTTTTTTTTTTTTTGGGCGATGAGTTAAGCTTGGTTCACATTTCAATTTTATTTCTAATATCATGGATTTAATTGTATGAAAATTTCTATTATAAATTTATCTATTACCATGAATTATTTTAATTGTATGTGTACATCCGTCTGAGGCATCATAAGCAGGTGGTAGCTTGATATTATTATTGTCTCAATGTATTCATGCAAATGTGTATTACTTTTTTATTCATATTTATGAATTTGTGGAGCCATCTTTGTGCATGATATCTATATGCTAGATCTAGGTCTGAATTTTAAGATGTAGGTTTAAAGAGGGAAAAAAACTATTTTTGTTTGTTATATTAGTTTCTTATTTGTTATTCTTTTACTATACCTAATTCTAATGCAGCATCGTATTCATGAACACACAATTGAAAATAGGTATCGATGAATAAGCTTGATCTTCTGGTCCCAGAGGGAAGAATAAAAACTTCTCATTATTGATGTGGTAAGAAAACTTTAAGAGATATCTTTGCCATACTTGAAAAAGAAAAAAATATACCAACTTTGAATTGAAAAATAAAAATAAAAATAAGAGCAATCAATCCTTATTCAACATTCTCACATTATGTACATAATTTCATACTTCTCTCATGCTGGTTATTCCTTGCTTCACAAAAGAGAAGGAAAAGTAGAGTACTTAAAAAATTTATTCTTTACAATTTTAATTTTTCCTTTAATAATATCAATTACCTTAACTAGTTTAAAAAAATAAAAATTAATACTTCAAAAATATTACACATATCATTCATTTGATATATTTGACGTGCAACGCATGTTCTTACTACTAGTTGATTATAAATTATATAAGCTATACTGTAGATAAGTTTCGATGGTTAACTTTAATACTATCAAAAAGTAAAATATTATCTTTTTCAAATTTTGAATGCGAATATAAATTACTAATGGTTACTTCTATTATAAAAAAATAAAAAAAAATTATCCTTTTTGTAAATTGACATTTTCTTTTGTGATCTACGTCCTAAAAAGTAACAGCAAAAGTATCATTTAATGTTTAATACCCAAATTTTTTATATCCAACTTTGAACAGAGGTGCATATAAGTTACTTATCTTTTACTCCTGTTTAGTTAAAACTATATCTTTAGTAAATTTTGATGAAATGTACGATTAAAAAAGGGATAAAAGTTGTGCGTTTTATAAGATGTGGATAAAAACAATTTTAAGGAAAAATGATAGGGCCAATTAAGGGCGTAATTTGGTGCAATCACATCGTCCAACTTCATTTTGTTTACAGATTCATCATCAATTTGGTACAATCGAATGGCCTAAATTTGATTTGCTTGGCGAATTTGGTCATTATCCAAATTGCTTCTTCAATTTCACATATTGACTTTAATATTAAAACTAATGTACGAATATTATAGTTCACCTAACACAAAATGTACATCACCTTTTCTTAAAAATTTATATAAAATAAAAACATGTTTTTTTACATGTATGCTATTCATAAGTATTAATGTTGATGTCATCATATTTCATTAGTAAAAGTAATGGAAAAAGTGACTAGATCCACAATAAAATCAAACTTTAGTGAGTCAATTGAACCAAATTAAAGATGAATGACTAGATCGATAAGTAAATCAAAAATTTATAGTTTAATTGCACAAAATTAAAGATGAATGACCTAGACACACTATTGTTCAAAGTTGGGTGACCAAAGTGCATTTTGCCCGTTAATACACTAATCTGATCTCAAGCTGTAACATTGGTTTCAGATCTTCCTCCATTGCTATCAAACTCAACACGAAACCAATTCAGATTCAAATAGGGAAAGTTTCTATACTTGCATGTAACCATACATCATCACTGTATTCAGAGAGAGAGAGAGAGAGAGAGAGAGAGATGGGGACATTCACGGCACTGGCGCCGGGCTTATCACGGAAGCTGAAGAAGGTGTTGGAGACGCGTACGGACATCCCCGATCTACTCGCCTCCCTCAATACCCTCTCCAGTTTCTATACGGACAATACCCCTCATTCCCGCCGTAATCTCCGATCTACCGTTGAAAAGCGCGCCCTCTCTATCAATGAAGAGTTCCTTCTCGCGTCCGCTACCGCCCAACAGGTAAATTCGTAATAATTCAACCGATTGAGATCAAGGGGTACAGTCACTGATTCGCAATGTACTATTATTGTTGCTTCGTGCTTTGATCTGATGCTAAATAATACCATTATTCGGCATTTTGATAAAATGTATTGTTTTTCACTATCACTATACTGATAAAATGCATATGCGGTTTTACTGTCGTGCTTTTGTTGAGTGTATCTTGGTCTGGTGTCTTGGTAAATTGTAACGTATTGTTTGTGAACATTCCCAATGTTAATAGCACCGATGAGTGCACAAAAATAAGTTTTCGATGTTTTCACAAACTTGTATCAAACCCAGACACACGTTCTGTTAAATGCACGGGCAAATAGGTACAACTCTATGTTTGAAGTAAAAGTCCTGGGCTTTATGCAAGGCTGGCTACTTGAAAAGATGTCAGTTGAGTAATTATGAAGAGGATATGTGAAGAGTGAAAGAGGGATGTTTGATGAGGGGAAGGAACAATCAAGCAGAGGTAGTTATATTTTTTAAATTGTTTTCTCAAGGACAAATGACATTCAGCTGGGAAGTCTTCCGTTAGGTTGACAGTGAAGGATTTTAAGTAATTTAATTTCTACTCAGCTTGGGTCATTTACCACCTATTGAGGCATAAATGCTAGCTGATAGAAATAACACACAAATCTTTTTATAAAAGACCATGCTAGTCAAGTCTAAGATGCGGGAATTTCAATGTGCTGGAAAGCATAAGTGCCAGTTTGGCATGACTTTTAAAAAGTCTAAATGAGCTTTTGAGATCCCAATGTTGCTTTTCAACCCACTTGGTTAATTTTATGAAGGTGCTTCTGGTAATTGGTAGAGTTTTTAGATGAAGTCATATTGGACCGGTTTCCTTCAAAAGCTTTTTTATAAGAAGCAAAAGCAAAAGTGAATGGGCCCAAAGTTTGGAAGTAGGGAGGACTTGTAAAGATTAAAGGAGAACACTCTCCATTGTGAGTTTTCATTTGTCTAGTGTTCTAATTCCATATCCTTTTCACCACCTCGCTTGGTATGTGTACCAGCTAGCATCTTGGTTTACTTTTTTGCATGTTATAATTCAGTAGTTGTGAATCTCCTACATGAATCTGAGTATAATATTTGTAATTATGTGTTCAAGAAGTATAATTATATATCATGAAGTACATTGTAAAAATATATGTTCAATGCGTGGTAATAACATCAGGAAAAGTTATAGCAGTATGAATATTTCAATTTAAAAAAAAAAAAAATTGTAACACGAAATAACCCTATTAAAAGGAATAAGCATATTAATAAATTCAAATGAATGAGAAAAATAAAAAATTACACTGAACTGCTGCTTTAAGATATGGATAGAAATAATCGATAAGGTAGAACACATAAATAAATACAAAATGAGTTATTATTTATCAGGACTAGAATATCAAGAACAAGACACATCTCTTGAAAATATATTAAGCCCCCCGTTTGTTTCCCATTAAAATAAAAAATATGATCGTTATCCGTTACATCAAACCACCAAATTTCAATTTTTATTTCTTGTGTGCGTAACGGCTATATTTTTCATTCTTATTTTTACAAAAATGGAAAACGAACGGGCCTAAATATTAGAAAATATATATTTAAAAAAAAGTTCAAATTATTTCATCTAGCATTGAGATTGTCTATCACCATTTATTATCACCTAGTATCAACAGGTGCTACTAAGACAGTCTTATATTTAACCTGGGATGTTATTCAAATATGAAGATAGTGATGCAAGATAAACCAACTTGTGCTATTGGTAAGGTATGAGATTTGAACAACACACTATTTACTGTGCAGTGTAAAATGCCTCGACCCCAGATGTTATATACTTGTACTAGGTATTTCTATTGCTGTACCTTCTAGGACCGGACAAAATTACCGAACCGAATCGATCGAACCGAACCCAAACCGAATCGAGCGGTTCTTAAGTTAAATACCTGAACGGGTAACTGAATCGAGAACCGACGGGCTTAGTTCGATTTTAGATTCTAGATCAAGAACTGAAGAACCGAATCTCCCTAATTTTTTTAATTAATTAATTTTAAATAGGCCAAATTATTTTATTTTACTAAATATATTTGCTAACTAATTAATTTAGTTCAAACCAAAAAATATGATTTTCCTTTTTCTAATTTTCAGTTCAAAGCCAACTTATTCAAATTAACCTAAGTTTTTATTCAAATTTGTTACTCTATCGTAGTGTCGTTTCTACTGTTCTGGAGAAATCGAATTAAAACTTGACAACGCCTCTCTTAATTATTTTGAGCTCGCTATCTTCCTCTTCCTGTGATTTTAACAATCAAATCTACGAAGAACTCAGCAAAAAGAGATGCGAAAGACACATAAGATAGGACTACATTATTTTATAAGAGTTAAGATTGAACATATCATTAGTTGAATTAATGTAAC